AGCTCTCTTTGAATACTTTGCCACTGCTTCCGCCCATTCGGCCTCGCACCTCGCAGGACCTACTTTGAAGCCCAAGTACGTGGCGTGCATTGCAAACTCCGCTCCGGCCCACTCGGGCAGCGCATCCTGCACTGCGCGTCGAAACTGGCGTGCCGAAGTTTCCCACAAAGGAACGACGACGGTCTTTGCCATGTTCAGGCGAAGACCAGAGAACAGAGCGAACTCCCTGTACACGCGCAGAACAGTCGATGCATCGCGCCAGAAGTTGCGCACGACCACTGCGTCGTCATCGGCATAAGCTCTCACCTTGCTTTGAGGCGTTTGTTGGCTGATTCGGCGTAGCAGCATGTCAGTCGCAAGTACAAAAAGAAGGGGTGAGAGAGGGCATCCTTGACGAATGCCGCTGCGCATGGGAAATCCTTCGAACACTTGCCCTTTCAACTTAATAGTGCACACGTTGTCCTTGTAGAGGCATCGAACAACATTGCATATGAAAGGAGGGACGCCTATGGCCTCAAGGGCAGCTAAAATAAAGTCCTGTGATACACTAGGGAACGCAGCCTCAAAGTCAAACGATATGAGCGCAGCGTTCCTCTCCTCGAGGCTGGCCAACATACTGGCGTAATCAATTTCGCACGCGTTCCGTACTATAGAGCGCCCCTGAAGAAAACCCCGCTGCATCGGAGACACGACTTTGTCGGCCAACGGCTCCAACAAATTTCTGTACGAACTAGCGATCCACCTGTTGTCTGTGTTGATTAATGACAAAGGCCTCGTCTTGCGTGCCGTGTACAACTCCCCGAAACCTGGGTGCGTACCAGCAGGTTTTTCTCGGGAGGCAACACAAATAGTTGTTGTTAGAACTTGGTGGCAACATGTCAATCGTAGCACGCTCCTGCAATGAGACTGTGGCATCAAATAAAATCGTGGCGGCTAGAGCTTCGACTTTCTTCCACGCCCGGTACGGGATCCCATCCGGACCAGGGGAGGAGTCGTTGGAAGCGCGGATGGCTTGCACCACGTGCGACGGCCGCAATTCCCACTTCCAACTCTCGTTTGGCAGTCCCTCCCTAGCGAAAGACACGAGGCTTGGGACATTCCATCCGCACATGCGGTTTAAATCCGCCGACCCCTTGTGGGTCTCTAGGCGTGTGAGATAGTTCCCCCCCTAACCCCCCCCCTGGGACCCCAAACCGGAGATTCGAACCCCCCCCCCGGGCCCACCACGAGCGCATCACGGGGCTCTTTTGGGCCCAAAAGGGGATCAAGACGGGCCAAGAAGGCCCCAAGACTCCTCCAAGACGGCTCACGAGAGCTCCGAGGCGCCAAACGAGCGCTCCCAGACGCCCAAGATGCCCCCAAGACGAGCCTAGAGGCCTCCAAGACGGCCCAAGAGGCCTCCAAGAGCAGTCCTGAGAAGGGCCGAAGCGCCGAAAATCGTCAAATTCCTATGGGAAAACGTACATTTTGATCATATACTACCTGTCGGCCTTCACGGCGTTGAAGACGGTCCCAGAGCACCCCAAGACCGCCCCGAGAGGCCCCCAAGAGGCGCCCAAGTCGGCCCAAGAGGGCGCCAAGACGGCCCAAGAGGCCCCCAAGACAGCCCAAGAGGGCCCCAAGACAGCCCCAAAAGGTGCCCAAGAGGGGGAGCCCGAACCGACAATTCGAGCCTTCCGCCCCAAGACGGCCCCAGAAGGCCCCAAGAGGCCCCAAGAGGCCCCCAAGACGCCCACAAGAGGCCCCAAGAGGCCCCCAAGAGGCTACAAAACGGCCTCAAAACGGCCCCCAAGAGGCTTCGAAACTGCCTCCAAGAGTCCCGCGAGAAGCCCCCCAAGAGATCCCAGGGCCTCGAGATGACCCCAAGCGGATTCCACATGGCCCCAAGAGAGGTCATTATGGACCCCTGCACGACTCCCCAGCCCGATTCAAGCGAGCCGGCAAGACCGCCAAGATGAGGGGTCGGCGGATGTGGCGTAAGCCTATAGAATCTACAGCTCGATGGGAAAATACATTACCCCAATGCTGTTTCAAAGAAGCTGCAATCTCACTAGCCTCAGTCGCAAAATCTGGACAATCTGGCGACGCAAGAACCGAGAGAGCAGGACACTCGCCCGGGAGAAGCCGCTGAATTTTCCGAAGAATGTGCTCCTTGCTGGAAGTCAGCTCGAAATCTGACAAACTTTTCCGTTGGTCTCTGAGGGCATCCACCTTCTCCAACACTTCCTGCCGCGCCAGCTCCGTGCCGGAGCCAACAAGGGCACGCAAAGGAGGGTAGAGACGGAAAAAGTGAGCAGCACGGTCCGTGACCCCACGCTCAAGAGACCTGAGAAGACACATGGAAGCCTGAAGTTTGTCTTCGGCGCTGGTGGCCTCATGAATGACGGTGGATCGCCGTAGTCTGTTGACAGCCCGACGCATCGCTAATTTCATGATGCCGAGCTTGTCAATCGGAGGGGCGTGAGGGGTGAGACGAGTTTCCCTGTCATATTCCCGCTGGACGTGCTTGGCAAAATCTGGATGCTCCACATACGCGGCCGAGAGTGGTCTGACACCACCTCTGCCAGATTGCCATTCGACACGTCTCCTGGCAAAAAACAAAGGCTTGTGAGCAGACAAACGAATTGGAGAAGGCAGTACTGAACATTCAATGTGTCGGTCTAGTACCTCGCACTTATGCTGGTTACAATAAATGCGATCAATGCGAGACTGAGCAGTGCCACTATCACAAGTGAAACGCTCTTGCACCCATTCCTCAAAAGAGAACTTACTACGCAAATGGGTCTGGAATGCAACGGCCTCGGTACCGTTAGTGTGCCCGGACCATTGTCTGGATTGTTTTTGCCAGCGGTCGTGCTTATTCTCCGTGAAATTAAAATCACCAGAGATGACAGAAGTGGCGCTGCGAGGGTCAGAGAAACTCGCCGCAACAAGTTTTAAACTGTTGGCGCGGGCTGCTGAGGAGTGCGCATCAAGATATACATTCCATATGTCCAAACTGCCGCAGCGACCACGGAGGCGTAGCACTGCAGACCTGCCTGTTTCCACAGTGTGAGACTGGTGCGAATCGAATTGGGAAAGGAACTTCCTAGAAACAAACATGGCGATCCCCGCCTGAGACCGGCTTAAATGAGACCAGAACGCACGGGTGCCATGGAATTCGCTGAACGCGAGCTCCCGGCCTGAAGTGCCGTGGGCTTCCTGCAAACCTACAAAATCAACTTTCTGGGTCAATTGCTCCACAAATTTATGCCTGCGATGTTGCTGACTCAACTTGCTTGAAAAAAACGCTTGGGAGTTCCAAGAACATCCAGCAAAATCCCCCGCAAAAGGGAACAGAGAGGAAGAGCGGAGGGGGGGAGGAAACGAGGGAGGAGGAGGGGGAGAGGCAACACCCGAAGAAATTCTAGGCAACAGGATTAGTCACTCGCGCAAGGCGCGATCTAGCTCCAGCTGCAAGTCTTTGCCTGTAAACGGCCAGCTCATGCTGTCCACGTTCTGACAGTTAATCTCAACGCGGATGAGCACGCCCCCGCCCTTCAATTCGCCGATCCGCGTGTCTTTCACCATCAACACCCCCATGCGGACATCGAAATCGAGGGCTCAAGGGCTACCCTTACTCAAGGCATCCCTTGCTTAACTTCTTCCCTTTCACTGTACTATACCCTCCGGAATCGCCGGGGATTGCTCCGACTGGGGTTTCAGTCTGGGCTTGCGCTGATTCAGGGAGCGGGTGCGCGTGATGGGGACTGGAGAGAAGAAAAAGGGATCTCCGAAGAAGGAGACACTTACAAGGGACGTGAGGGCTCGGGTGACCGAGCCCCAGAAAGTGGATCTCGACACGGCGGCCGTGGGGAGTGCTTCAGGCAGTTCGTCCTCGGCTTCGTTGGGATTATCCGTGCCTGGGGACTTGAACGCGGCCCCTACGCTCGGCCAGATCCAGAAAATGATGGAACAAATGATGATGCACATGACGACGATGACGAACAGCGTCAAAACTGAGGTTACTAAACACTTCGACGATCAGATCGGGGACATAAAAGAGCAGCTCACGACGAACCAGGAAGAGATTCGCAGGGTGGCGTCTCTTGCCAGCGGTGCGCAAGAGGGCGTGGTCGCTACGAGATTCGAGATAGCGAAGCTCAGGGAGGAGAAGGTCAGCAGGGAGGACGTCGCGAACATGATTTCAAAAGCAATGAATCAAAAAGGACCTGCAAAGACAGCAGAGCGCACGGGAGCACAGCCTCTGAAGTGGGTCGACCGGGACAACAACCCGATGCCCATTGAAAAAGTTGAGCACCTCGAACGGACGGCAATCTTCAAGGGTTTCCCGAAGGACACCAAGGGAAGCGACATTCTCGAACTCATCAGCGCGAACTTGGGGGAACGTGCACACGAGGTCGACGGCAATGCATACACAACAGGAAAATGGGGAGAGAGAGGTGCAGTCCGATTTAAAACGAAGGGCGCGATGCATAATTTCATCAATGGTAAGCCTGTTTTCCACCACCACCACCGTAAGTTGGAGGGGGAGAGGGTCCTCCTCCTCCTCCTCCTCGTCCTCCTCCTCGTCCTCCACCTCGTCCTCCACCTCCTTCCCCCCTCCAACTTATGGTGGTGGTGGTGGAAAACAAGCCCATCAATCAAGGCAGCCAGGAACACCGACAAAATTCACTACAAAGGCGCACCAATCACCATAGGACCCGATCGCGGACCTGTCTTCGGGGCCAGGGTGCGCCACTCGGCCATACTCAAAAAAACATCCTTGTGAAGAAATGCGTTGAAGTAGATTCCATCGAGGGGATGGAGTGATGATGATAGGCTGGAAGAGGAAGGAGGGGGGAGCAGGAGTAGTTTTTTTCTTCCAGGCAAATTCATGTGTCACGGATTCGGTGCACGAGCAGGAGTAGTGACGAGAGTTGTGACGATCCCCCCCTCCTCCCGTTCTCCTCCTGCCTTCCCTCTTCGGCTACTGCGGCGGAGGTGGCGGCGGAGAGGACCTCGATGCGGAGTTCCACGCGGCCGCACTGGGGCAACGTGGCGTTGGTGGCGAGGAGGTCGAGAGTCCTCGCGGGGGAGGAAGGGAGTCCTCCAGGACGATTTGGATCCAACGAAAGCAAAGCCACCAGCAGCTGCCACGCAAATAGTGAGACGCTGAAGTGCACTGGTTACTCCGAGAGGCGAGGCCCTTCCACGACGGCGCCAACACACCTTGGTGAAGCCACCCTGCAATACAGAGCCCCTGGCCAAATTGCACCATGGCAGTCTCGGGGAGTTCAGGATGCTGCGCGTGCCAGCCGTGCAATAGTGCACGGGCCAGGCACGGCAGGCACGGCAGGCAAGGCAGAGGAGGGGGGAGGAGAGGGAAGAAGAGGAGGGGGGGAGGAGGCCACAGAGACCGGGCAAGGGCCGAGACGGGCGGGCAGACCGGCGTCAAGACGCCACGCCGCGCAAAACAATTTAGACACAGATCGAGCACAGACATCAACCATAGGCATCAATAACAGATCCCACCGCCGTACATCAAGCGCGTACAGATCCTACCATACATGAGAAGAGTACTAAGAGCATGCAACAATACGCCAACAAGAAGTGCACAGACTCTACATTGCGAGCATGCGCGGGTAACATGTCCCAAGGGAAGCTGGTAACATGTCCCAATGGAAACGACCATAGCACACAGCAGCAACGCACCCTTATATTATGAACTAAATGTAGATATCTTTCAACCAATCGTGCAACCTCCACCGATAAATTAGACGGCGACGGCTCAAGCATGAACAGCACACGTCGCCCATCAAGAGACGTCAGCATCGTTACATGCAGAAACGACAAGCGTACGTATCGTTCGTCCCCTGAATACATCCAGGATTGGCATTACACTCATGAAGCGATTACCCGAATCAGTAACCAATTGGGGTACAAACGAGAACGGCAACCACCCAACATTCATCATTAACACGCATGAAGAACAGGCGCCGACACCATACATCATCAACTCCCTCTCCTTGTCCCACCAGAAATTTTCACACAATCACGCACTGGAAATACCAAACATCCTAATAATCTCCTCCTCCCCGTCACCCTGCAGGTTTCATACGGAATATCCTTGAACCGAAACTTGGGAATATCGCTCTCTCCCATTGTTCCAGATCCTCCCTCTCCTCCTCCACCTACTCCATTTCGTGATCCGCCTCCTCCTCCGCCTCCTCGCCTCCTCCTATCCCCCTCCCCCTCCTCCACCTCGTCTTCTTCATCCTTTATTCCTTGTCCTTATAAATAACGTTTATAGGGCGGGCCAGACGTTTCGCATAAGACCTCCTCGCCATGTATGACTCTGCAGCCCACACAAAGGCAACAGCTTCACAGATGAAGGGAGGTTTTTTTTTTTCAAACTGTGACTCTCGCCTTAGCGCCGCGCACAGCCGTTTGAAAACATTGCAAGAACATCGCGGTTTGAGGGCGGGTGGTTTTCAAACTGTTGTTCTCGCATTAGCGGCGCGCACATTTGTTTTAAAGATGTCATGTTCGCCTTAGCGCCGCGCACATTTGTTTAACACATCTACAAGAGTGTCCCTGGTTGAATGCGGTTTCCTTTACAACTAAGGCTCTCGCCTTAGCGCCGCGCGCACTCGTTTTCACCATGTGCAGCAGTTTTCTCGGATTGAAGGCGGGTCGTGTTCAAACTGTGGTTTTCGCCCTAGCGCCGCGACCATTCGCTTTAAACATTTGCAAGTGCGCCACGGATTGAGGGCGGGTGGATGGTTTCAAAATGTGGTTCTCGCCAGCGCCGCGTACACTCGTTTGAATCATTTGTAGTACTTTCACTGGTTCCCATGACCAACGTACCAGAAACGGTGTTTGGGAGGAATTCAGGATTATGCGGGTGGAGCAGTTATGTAGCTTCGCGTTGTTGTAAACCCAAAACTGGCGTCCTGGCGCAATTTCAGATCGTGAGGACGCAGCAGTAATGTCGATCCGTGGCATGCGAATCCCGAGAACAATGTTCTGGCATCGTTCAAGGTCTTCAAACGGTTGTCTTCCAACGAGGCAGTTGCCCCAATGGGGCCTATGAAGAGGGAGCTTGGGGGAAGGGTTAATTCCAACATCGTTGATGACTCTTGTATTGGCACTGGCCCTCCTCATCATCCTCCTCCTCCGCCTCCTCCTACCTCTCCTCCTCCTCCTCCTCCTCCTCCTCCCCATCCTTCCCGCTTTCTATATGCTACAAACTATTCATTCCCTTTCCTCCCCACATACGTCCCCCGAAAGAGGTCATCGTGTTACCTGGTTTTCCGAACCCTCCGCACTGTGCCCCTTCTCATGCTTCCCACTTTCTCTTCCTTTTCCTCACCCGTATCATGCATGGCGGGAATGAGATGGGGCGCGCGTCCGACGCGAAAGGCCAAACTGTCTCTCGCCTCGGCGCCGTGCTACTTTTTCCGAACAGTTGAGCCCTCGCTGGGGCGCGGCGCGTATTTTTCGCACGCCACTTCGCAGACGCCCGAACGGGCGAACATGTCGCTCTCGCCTCACCCCGTGCAGACTTCCCCCGCAAGTGGTGCTCCCACCTGATCGCGGACCATACTTTACACTCGCCAATGTTTTTGGGCCCCGCGCGAGCGGGCAACTTGGCACCCTCGCCAACATTTCGCGTATTTCTCTTGGGTGTGGCGTTCTCACGCGGGCGAGGCTCATGTCTCGTTCGCCGACGAGCAAGAAAACGACAGCGACAGCGGCGGCGGGGCCGCGCGAGAGCGGGCGAAATGCCGACCGCGCCCAAGCGCCGCGCAGGTAGTGAGTGAAACTAGTAGCGCTGCGTTGGCGCAGCGCATGCTTCGCTGTCGCCGCGGTCATCGGAAATTGTGTCGCTGGCGCCCATGCGTGGTCCTCGAAGTTTTCCCGTCACGAGATCGTCGAAGGCGTGACTGCGTGCGAGCGCCTTCTTTCGCTACGCGCGAACGCATTCCAAAGCAAGATATGAGGTTGTGCCTGAATGCTTGTTTATGTTGTGGGGGAAACGGAATAGGCGGGGCCCTCTGGCTCGCTTGGCCTGGCTACGTCACTTGGCCCCCCTCCTGCTGCTCCCCCCTCTCGTCCCCCTCCTCCCCCTCCTCTCCCTCCTCCTCTCCCATAATCCACATGTTTCCCCTCCTTCTCCCCTCCTGCTCATCTTCCCCGCTCCTTCCCCTCCCTCCCCTCCTCGGCTGACCCCTCGTTGTCCTTCCCCTCACTCTCCTCCTCCCTCCTCCTCTTCGCCCCCTCCTCCTCCTCGTCCGCCCGAAGGGGGCCGATGACGGCGCGCGCGCCGGGGGTGACGGCGTTGAGGGTCCAGCTGCGGCAACCCTCGCCTGCGCAAGGCTGCACCTGGGCGCTCGTGGCGGGCAACGCGGAGACCGGGGCGCTGCGGGGTTCAGGGCCCGAGGGCGTCGGAAGGGAGGGCCATGCCTCCTCGCGCTGAGAAGACACGCGGCACGACGTGAAAAAAACACATTGTAACCCTAAGAACGAAGCGACAAGAACGGCGACCGCGAAGGCGACGGCGACGACGGAAGACGAGATCGGCATCGTCAAGTCGTCGTCGTCGTCTTCGTCGTCGTCGTCGTCGTTATCGTCGTCATCGTCGTCGCCGTCGTCGTCGTCGTCATCGTCCTCCTCCTCGTCGTCGTCGTCGACCGTCGTCGTGTTCGACAAAGGGGGAGGACGGAGGAGGAGAAACAACAACTCATGCGGGAAACAATGGAAACCGAAAAGAGGAAGGGACAACAAAGGCGCGCTCGCGCCACATCTGCCATCTTTCCCCCCCCTATCACATGCAATTGCGTTGAACCCCCTCCGTTTGAATACAAACCCCGAAAAAGGAAACCGCAGAACATGACCGCGGACGCCGACTGGAGGGACGGGCATGAGGGAAGCGATCGGCAACTTGCAGTGGCATGATCGAGGCGGATAGGGGGCAAAGGACGGAGCAGCGAGGACGGAAAGGGAGGAGGAGGAGCTATGATTGAGAACGGCGGCGATGAAAGAGAGGAGGTGCGAGGAGAAACGAGGAGGCACAGGACAAATTAGGGAAGGGGATAAACAGAAAATCCCAACTGCGGGGACGTGATCGACGATTGGGACGGGAAAGGACAGATAATCCCAACTGCGGGGGAAGGATGAGGGAGAGGAATGGGGGCAGAAGGAGTGACGGGGAAGGACAGATAATATCAACAGGAGCAGGAGGAGGATGGGAAAGGGAAAGACCAGGCAAGATGGAGAGGGGCAGAGATGCGTCCCGGATGCGCGGGGAATAGTGGGGAGCCATAAAGCAACATACCGAACTTGCCTTCTATAATCCCACCAGTCCTTTGGGGCGACAGGTGGTCTAACGAGGGTCTATTTCCTCTTCCACAGCCCTAGTTTCATTCGGGGAGGGGAGTCCTCCCCCTCCCCCTCCCAAGGGTTTTTTGGGACGGATCGCGAGGTGTCGGAGGCTCCTTTTTCGGCCATTGGGAGGGTCATTGTGTGCCAACCCTCACCAGGATCGTGGCCCCCGAGGGGGGGACCTAAATCGAATATCCCCCTCTTTTGACCGACCGCCTCCAAGATGGCCCCAAGATGCACTCCAGGGCTCCCAAGAGGCCCGAAAAAGGGCCCAAAGAGCGCCCCAAGAAGCCCCAAGAGGCTTCCAAGAGGCACCCGAGAGGCACCCGAGAGGCCCCCGAGCGGCCTCAGAGAGTCCAAACTGACCTCCAAGATGGCTCCGATAGCCCAAGCTGGCCCAAGATGACTCCCAAGATGCTCCAAGCGGCCCCAACACCGCTCCAAGACGGCTCGAGATGGCCACGGAGCCTCCCAAGCCTACATCGCTGGTTGACTATGCGTGTCTCTTCCTCGCTCCCCCTGTTAACTCTCATGGGCATCGTTTCTGGATGGACTGGTGGGGACACTTTTTTGGTCGCGGCCGCGAGCGAAGAGCGCAGGCGGCGAACAGGGTGTCCGGGCCGACGGGCAAGCCTAATTAGCTACTGGGCGCAGCACAGGCCGGAAGTGGTGGGGACACTTTTTTTCCTCGGCGGCTCCAAAGGAAATCCCCAGGGAGCGGTCACAACGTCCGGGCCACGGCGCAAGTGGTGGGGACACGCGAAGCGTCAAGAATTAAGCTCGTTCTGCTTTCCACCTCACGTCCAATTCATTATTCCTCGTTTGCTTCCGCACCCTTCTTCCTACTCCCTTCTCCTCTCTCCTCCTTTCCTTAGTGCTGCCTTCCTTTCTTCCTCGTTCCTTCAATTCTTCCTCATATCATCCTCTCCCCTCCGTCCTTCCTAAGGTTTATGCCCCTCCTGCAGGAGTAGAAGAGCCAGGAGCAACAGAAGGATGATGAATATGACTTGTGGGAGCACGCATTGGCGGTCAACATGAAATACTTGGGAGGATGGTGGAACAGAAAGGGAGGAGACGGAGAAGTTAGAGGACGAGCAGTGCTATGTTGCGAAAAAAAAGACGACGCCAATGACGACGACGAGGAGGAGGAGGAGGAGACGGAGGAGCCAGAAAATTACGGCGACACGGGACGTGGGGACGAGCAGCAGCCGATGATGGGTGCCCATGTTGTCGCTCCCCTGGATTGCCCCCTTCCTTCTTAGAGCCTATCCGAGAGTTCTGTTCATCCCCCTCCCCTGGCGACCTTCTGAGGCCGGGGGGGAGGCACCAAGGGCTCGCGGCATCGACCAGGACGGTCCGCATCGCACATGTCGCACAGAAGGAGGGGGGGGACAGGAGGAGGAGGGGGAGAACTGGTGCAAACCCAAGAGTCATCATCGATGTTAGGAAAAACACCCATTCGAGATCCATCTTCATAGGCCCTCCCACAACGGTTCATGTTCAATCGTTGGAAGACAACCGTTTGAAGACCTTGAAGCATGCCACGATGCCACGGACTAACCTGACTTGCGCCTTGACGATCCAGAAATCGCGCCAGAACGCCATTCCTGGGCCTTCACCACCGCGAATCCAAGTAACTGTTGCACCCTTACAATCTCGAATATTTCCAAAACACCTTGTCTGGTAGGTTGAACATATAGGAATCAAAGAAATGCTTGCAAGTTGTTAAAACGAATGCAAGCGGCGCTAGGGCGAGAGCCACATGTTGAAAACCACCCGCCCTAAGTTCGTGAAGCTCTGGCACATTGGTAAAACGAATGAGCGCGGCGCCGGGGCGAGAGGCACATTGTGAAAACGGCCCGCCCTCAATCCGTGAAGCTCATGCAGTTTGTTAAAGCGAATGCGCGCGGCGCTAAGGCGAGAACCACATGTTGAAAACCACTGGCCCTCGATACGTGGAACTTTTGCCATTTGTTATAACGAATGTGCGAAAAGAAACGCCCGGGCCGCCCTTTCGACAGGCTTCGGGGTGCGACAGGGAGAAGTTCTTTGTGAGGAAAATACATTGGGGATGATGCTGAGGGCTGAGAAGATGGAGGAGGAGAAGGATGAGGAGGAGGGCGAGGAGGAGGAGGAGGGTGGAGGATGGAGGGCAGAGGGCGGAGGTGGAGGGAGGTTGAGAGCGGAGGGCGGAGGAGGAGGAGAAGGGCGGAGGCCAAGCAGGCCTCGAGAGGGCAAGGGTGGCGGCCTAAGGACGGGGCGGCGCTGCCATCCAGAGGCACCGCGCTGAGCAGGCACCGCCTGGCGAGGGTGTCCATCTCGCAGAACCATACCTGCTGGGCAGGCAGGAGATGGAGGATGGAAGGAAGGGGAGGAGGAGAGGGGAACAGGGAGGGAGAGAGGAGGGAGGAGGAGAGGGGAAGGAGAAGAGCAGGAGTGGAGAATAGAGGACGCCTACAGCAGGGACCAGGGAAGAGGATGAGGGGGTGTGAATGAGATAGAGCGATGAGAATGGAGGAGGAGGAGGAGGAGGAGGAGGAGGAGGAGAAGGAGGAGGAGGAGGAGTAGGAGGGGGAGGAGCTGGAGGTGGGGGAAGCGGCATAGTGTACTTGAGCACAAGACGGGAGGAACAAGGACGGGGGAGCAGGGATAATCATACGGATAGGATAGTGAGGTAGGAGTATGAGAAAGATGAGGACTAAGCAGGCGATAACTCTTACACGGTGCGGATGGAGGACTTGTGGCGGTGCCGAGGGGAGGGCCAAGAGAGATACTGGCGGGACCAGGAGGGGAGGATGAAGGTAGGGGCGGGGGTGCGTGTCCCTGTCCCTGCTCTAGCTCCTCCTGTCCCTGCCGCCTGCCAATGGCGCTGCTGCGTCTCTACGGCAGGTTCGCGTCGTGTCGACCCCAGCGATGGTTTCTGTCACCTCGGGGATCGTTCAACCTTGAACGATCGGCCCTTCCCGAGACGTCAGATTCTTCAACATCGACCTATTCTGGGTCGCCGGCGGCGTTCAACCTTGAACGCCCGCGCTGGGGTCGCCGCTGGTCGACACGACACGAACCTACAGTATCCCAATCATCAACGAGATCCTCGCTCCTCTTCCTCCTCGGTGCTCCTCGTCCCGACCCCCTTCCCTCTCCGAGCTTCTCCAGCTGATCTCTCTGCTCCCTGCACCCCCCCCTCCCCCATACATCCCTCCTCCCTCTCGCATCCCTGGTGGGCTCGTTTCCCACCACCACGATATATAGGAGGGGGAGGGGGTCATCCTCATCCTGTTCTTCTTCTTCCTCCTCATCCTCCACCTCCTTCCCCCCTCCAACTTATGGTGGTGGTGGTGGTGCAAAACGAACCCATCAATCCCACTCCTCCGGTCTTGGGAAACACACCTCCAGGCGAGCCGCCCAGCCCCCGCGAAGCTCATTCGAAAATGGCACAAGCCAGCCTCCCCCCCCACATTCTCAGAAAGAGGATGCCATCTGCCTCTCGCTCCCGCCCGCCTCGCACTGTTCCTCCTGGGACTACCGCTCCTCGGGCTCACCCTGGGTTGCCCTCTTCCTCTCCTCATCCTCCTCCATGCTCCTCCTCCTCCTCCTCCTCATCGTGCTCCGCCTCCTCGAGCTCATCCTGCTCCTCCACATGCTCTTCCGCCACCGTGCCGCTCGGCAATCAATGGGGTGCCCGCAAGTGCCTCCGAGAAAAACAGAGCACGCTCAAGAGGCCGCCCTCCCTCCGTGAAGGGCACCGGCCGCGCTCACGGCGCGGTCCTCGTGCTTTATTGGGCAAGGGGGGCAAAGTGCGCCAGCACGACATCATTGCAAAAAACCATGGTTTTTTTTGCAATCCTGGTTTTTTTTGCAATCCTTTGCAATTCTGTTTTTTTTGCAATCCTTCGTTTTTTTGCAATCCTTCGAGTCCCAAGCGAGCCGTAAGACGGCCCAAGAAGGCCCCGAGTCGGCGAACCAGGGCCCAAAGATTTTTTTTCGCACAAAGACCCTTCGGCGAAGGTCGTGGCCTCTTCGAATTTCCTTCCGGCCTGACGTCTGGCCTTCAAACGCCTGCTACGACGTCCAACAAACTACACCCCTAAAACCGCAGATAGGCCGGTACACCCAAAAATGAGGATGTCAATCTAGGGCCCAAAGATGACCCAGGATGCTCCCAAGACGGCCCACCCCCCCGAAACAAAAAACAACGCTCCAACGATACAACCCCCAAGACGTCGCAGAGGACCCAAAGGGATCTCGAACACTCTAAGCCAAGACCCAGGCACGGTGGCAGCATGGGCCGAAGGCCACGAGACCTTAGCTCTGCTCCAGAACTCCTCCCCCCCATTTACCTGCATCGGCAGCCCCTCCTGCGCAAGTCAGTGCTACTTCGCCTGATCCTCCTGAAACTTCTCCTCCGCATCGTCCGCTTCCTCCGCCTCAGCCCCTTCCCGCGGGACGAGAGGCAGCCGCGAGCGCGCCTTCTTCCACGCGTGTTCTCCGATCACTGGCTCGGACCAATTGAAGACCACCGTCCCGTCTCTCTGCTGCCACGACATCGCGGGCTCGAGCGAAGGTGGCGCACCTTCTGGGACGGCGCTCGTCCTTCTGCTGCTGCTGCTCATCATTATCACCACCACCAACATATATATATATATACGTATCGTCGACCTGCTGCTGCTGCTGTTGGTGCTGCTGCTGCTGCTCATCATCCTGCTTTTGCTCCTGTCTTCCTCAAACCCCCTCCTCCTCCTGCCTGGTGTTCCGCATCCGCATCAGTGGCATGGCATCCCTACTCCGCCTCATCGACCTCATCCTCTTCCTCTCGCCCTCTTCTCAGATTCACCATCCTGCCACCCGTTCTCCCCCTGCCCGCCCCCCCCCATTCTCCTCCACCCATGCACCCCCCTGACCGCCCCACCATGAATTTCTTCCCGCACGTTGGACCCCTTCACGACCACATCTCCCCTCCTCCTACCCAGCTCTTTCCTCCTCGTCCTCCTGATCACCAGGGCCCCAGCGAGGGAATACTGATGAAACATGGGCGTGCGGGGTGGAGGGAGAGAGGGGGAGGAAGAAGGATAATAAGGGAGGGGAGAGTGGGATGGTGAGGGAAGAGAACAATTGAGGGAGAAGGCGAGGAGGGAGGGATGGTCAGGGAGGGAGGGTTGGATGGTCAGGTAGGGAGGTTGGGAGAAAAAGAGAGAGAGAGGGAGGGCAGGAAGAAAGGGGATGGAGAGACGATCGGAATGTTCATGGAGGCAGGGGGGGGGACCTTCAAGGCCGAGGTGAGTACCGACAACGCCGAGAATGTTGAGGGCAGCCAGGCAGAGAAGATGCGGATCGGCGAGGAGAAGGTCGGCAACCATGCGGAGGTTCAGCTCGTGTCGCGCTGGACCAACGAACACGACTAGGTTTTTCCACGAGCGTCTCACCCTCCACCGGAGAAGTGGCTGTCGGAACCCGTCTGGAAACCACGGCCGTCGGCAATCAGAGGACCGGCCAAACTATGCCGACGTCGGCGTCCCGCCAAGCAGGCGATGGAGCACCTGTCGGCGCGCAGGATCTCGACAAGGAGACCTGAAGTGTCCCGTGCACCGAGGTGGGTGGCGTGGTCGAGGAGACCGTCGACGATCTATGGAGGAATGGGCAGCAAGAGTCCGAGACCGTCGGTGAGGACGCCAAGCCATGCAACCGACGGGCTCGGATGAGAGCCGTCGGCCAGCCGATGGACGTGGAATGATCGTCCACGGGATGAGTAGACGTGAGCGCGCTGGGACGCGCCCTGAGGGCAGACCTCGTCGCAAAGGACTTCCAGCCATGAGCGGCGGGGTGGGCGGTAGCTGGGTTGGTCTCCGACTCTCCGAGGGGTGGCCAGCCCGGCTGCGCCGCGTGGTGACTCAGTTCAGAATGTTTCCTCGGCCCCCCCCGTATCGTTGAGTCGGGCGTGTCCCCCTACAGGGGGATTCTCGACGAAAAATAAAAAATACAAAAAAATACAGCCAAATGGTAAAAAAATACTCCAAAGATAGTCCCCTGACTATTTTTTGACTATTTTTGAATATCCCCCCTGCAGAGGGACAGGCACGACTTAACCCTATCGTCATATCATTTCTCATGCTGCTTCTTCGGCTGCAGCTTTGCTGCCGCTCCTCCGCCCGCCTTCACCTTGGCGCCCTCGAGCTGCGCCCGCGCAGCACAGGAAAGGCCCGCCCAGTGCGGTGGGAGCGCCCTACCGCCAGGACTTGGGCGCTCGGGGGCGCTCGAGGACTTGGGCGCTCGCAACATCCGGCCGCAGCCCGGAGAGCCCGCCTCCCTCCTGGCATTCCTCCTCCTCCTCCTCCTCCTCCTCCTCCTCCTCGTCCTCCTCCTCCTCGTCCTCCTCCTCCTCCTCCTCCTCCTCCTCCTCCTCTGCACCGTCCGCCAGCTCCCCTGGCGGCCTCCCTGACCCGCCCGAGGCAAGGTGGGGCAGTGGCGCCATCCCGACACTGGGGCGACGGCACCCTTGCACCAGCCAGCGGAGGCCCAGCTCGCTCCGAGGGCCAGGTGCAGACATCCGCCCCGCGAGCTTTGCGCACCACTCTAATGAGCGCCGGTGGGTCTGTGTTAATTGCCGGTGCGGTAACTACTCTGGAGGGGAGGGGACACCTCAGAGGCATGTCGGAGGAGTGCAGCGAGAGCCCCGCGGTTTTTGCAGGAGGGGCCGCTCAAACGAAGTCCTCCAGAGCTCCAGCGAGCCCCGACTGAGCCGGCTTGGGGTCCCCACACGAGGGGCTGGGGGCACACGTGCCTCCTCCCCTCGGCAAACTGCAAGAGTGCCCCTAGGCCACAGTGACCTTTGGTGCGCGGCTGAACGGGGGGCGCAAAATGAACACACAAGACGCTACTACCGCATCCCGTTCGGCAGTCGGGGGGGCCCAGTGGGCCCGCATCAACGGTCACTCTAACGAAGGGTCACTCTTACGTGTAGACGATCCCTCCTCTCTCCCTCCTCCCCCCAGTCCAATGCGTGCTCATCGCTGTGTCCAGGTGGGCTGTGCGAGCCGAGGCTCAGCATCCCCACGCCTCGAGGATCGAGAAGGCGAAACGATCATAGGAGAGAACGGGAGGAGTAAACCGGAGGAGGAGGAGGACGAGGGCTATGACGACAATGAGGGAGAGGAGGAAGAAGTGGAGGAGGAAGAGAAGGAGGATGACCACGAGGGCGAGGAGGGTGGAGGGGGGGTAGAAAGAGGAGACGCCATCGCCCACCGGAACTACGAGGAGACGGGGGGTCGGGGGCAG